TCTGGCATGTTTTATTCCAGATTAAAATGCAAAACTGTTTAAATGTAAAGAATTTTTTTTGAAAATAAAAATGTTAAGTAAGTATTTACAGTGTTTGCAGTGCATGTTCACTATTACGATTTTTTTAAATGATGTATTTGTTTATTTTTTTGTATTAGCGAATACCAGCCCATGTCTAGGATGCGGATGTAAATTTACTGAACCTATAAAACAGTGTTGCACCAATCAGAAAATTTGAGAAACACTATGATCAGCCGGTACCAATCTGGTCACCGATATTTATTTTTATTTTCCAGTTAAGCCTACATGCTGCAGCAAAATACACCACACTGCGAAATAACAGGAATTATATGTAGTGAAATGTTAACACACTATCATTATGTCTTTTTTTAAAGCTTGAAACCAGTTGAACCTGTAATGGGCAAAAACTGCTGAACAAATTCTTTAAAATATCTTCTTTTGTATTTCAAAGAAGTAGGAAAGCCGTGGGAGTTTGGAACCACATGTGGAAATTTCTTAAATTTTTGTGTGAACTTTCTTTAAGATTCTGGAGTACTTCTAGGTGACTAAACAAATGCAAGCAAATCTGTGACTCTGACCATGTTAACTCTTTTGTGCAAAAGGTCAGATTTTCTTGCTTCCACTGAAGCAAGTAAGATGCTCTTTGGAATATTCACAAATGCTGGAATAACATGGATCATCAGTTTTGCACAATCTCACAGAGTCCCTGTCAGCCTGAGCGCAAACTGTCATTTAAAATAAAACCAGCATATAGCAAATAAGAAATATAGTTATTATATACACAATACAAATTGTATATTCTGACAACTGCTGAAATGTATCATGGTACAAGGTATTATTGATACTGTAATCACTGAATTAAAACTACATTACAAAACAAGCTGAAAGATTAAAGAACTTGTTATTGTGAGTTTTAGTTACTTGTTTGAAAAAGATCTCAAAATAACATTTAGCTATTTAAATATTTAAAATTAAAAAATATATATATAATTTGAATATAAAAGTCATTCTGGCTTAAATTCTGTTTTTACTCAATTACATGTTTTACTCACTCATTTACTCACCTTAAAGTCATTCCAAACCTGTATGCATTTCTTTCTCTTGTCTAACTCAAAATATGATATATTGGAAAAAGGCTGAGTTTTTTTTTCTCCATCCTTACAATGAAAGGTTGTTTGGGACCCCAAATGCATTCATTGCATGGGCAATGACAGCTGAAACACATTTTGAAGAATATTCACAAAGGTTTGGAACAACATGGGGTTGAGTAATTGATGGCAATTTTCATTTTTGGATTAATTATCCCTTTAAGAAACTGGACACTTAAACTAAATTAAGGCAGCACTTTGTTGTAAGGCGAGCTCGGGCTGATTAGAAATTCCCCACGGAGCAGAAGGGCTTGGGCTGTATCTGTACTGAGACTCAAGATCATGACAGTGGGGCCTCACCATCCTTCAGGCTTTGGGGTTTAAGCAGGAGGTGTCAGACTGTCGTGAGACAGGTTCGTTTTACATTTGTTCAGATATTTGGTGCGGGTGACAAGACACTGGAGCAAAGTCACTATAGAGTCAGAATTACCCTTATAACGATATCACAGAGCTGTGGGACACTGAGGAACCAGCGATAGCCAGCATACAAGCATCAGTGAGGAAAGTTGACATTTACTAAAAGACTAGCACACAACCTGATTTAGAGTGCTTTGAATTTTCATCCGTTGATGGAAATTAAGCCACAGTGCATTCCGAAAACCTATTAGCCAAGTTTTGTTTGATCTAGGCTTTTTCACTGTAGTTTCACAATAATCATGCATGTTAGTTATAAATAATACCAGCACACGTGAATCAACTAGGCAACCTCACTAATCAACTAGCTGTGAAGCAGCTGTTTAAGCAATAATGCCAGACCTGACACTAATCCCAGACCTTTTTTAATTAAAAATCATATATTTTGATTTGCGAGAAGACCCTAATAATAATAATACTCATCATCATCATCCTCATCCTCATCATCACCATCATATGAAATGAAGTGTCTTTTAATTGTTACATATTAAATTTACTGGAATATTGGAAAATTAAAATGAAAAATAAGAGAACAAAAAGTAAACTTGTGGGGCTACGTTTCCAGCAAATTTAACTAGGTTGTTCCATGGTTCCTAGGTTGTTTTGATTTTAATTATCACTATTATTATTATTATTATTATTTTTCCCTGGTTAATTAAAAAAAAAACACTAAAAGAAGAAAGCCAAAATATTTAATTAAATGGCATGGATAAATATTACAGTCAAATTACAGTGGGGTAGAAGGCAACATCATTATGTTATTTACATAGAGATAGGAGAATCTATTAATAAAATCCACTGACTTTAGTAGTTGCATTATATGCCAGTGGTGACAGTTGGGTAAAATAATATTTCTGATGTTCAGGAAACCAAGATACAATTCTAATTCCAAAATTAGTTTTTCTTCAGATATTCTTCTTTAAAGGAAAAAAAGTATTAGCTGTATGTAAAGTGACTCACATTTGGTTTTTGACCACTGAAAATGTGTACAGTTTAACAATTTACTCATTCAGCCACACTGAGATCCCTATATCTCTGGATCCGAACCATATAGGGCCTTACAATGAAGATACCAAAAGTCAACAGCTGCTATAGTCAACTTTTTTTCCTAATATACCTACCAATGTCTGTGTAAATATAAATAAATGATGCTGTCATCTTTCTAAAGTCATTTTCACCTGTAATTTGGCTCCAAATCTCAAGTGAAAATTGCCATTTTGCCAAAATATCCATCCATGACATTTAATATTTTGGCTCTTATTACCATTTATCCATGTCTTTCTTCAGGGAAAAAAAGCTGGGCAACATCCTAAATTTGGTGTGACATAGAATGTTTATATGATGTATACAGAAACATTATAACTCAACCAACCCATCCCTAACATTGCCATTTAATTTCCAAATAAAAGCAGACAAAGTACAACATCAGAATGCCCTTAAACAATCAAAAAACAATTATTCACACAACCCTAATTTGGTACTAATGTCATCTCTGAGTTCTCTTAAGTCTGCCGCTTTAGCAGTGAGAGTTTGCTATGAGCAACAAACCGTATGAAGTCAATGTAGCATATTATGAAATCTAGGTTCCCAGAGTGATGTAACGTTAATAATTACCAGAATCAAAAATAAGGCCTAAATTTACATATCCTACGGTGAAATAAAGGCAGTTGGGCTAAGCATTATCCTACAGAGTCACAATATCAGAGTCATTTTGTATTCATTGCTTTTGGGAAAAAGAAGGACATTAATGGAGTTTCTGAGGGATTTAACAGAAAGCACTGCACAGCACAGCAACTGTGTTACTTTATAACTCAGTTTCCACACTTTATGAAGAATTTCAAGCAGTAGTTTACAAAAAAATACAAAATTATAACCTCAACAGCGCTGTAACAGACTCATTGCAAGTTATCGCAAATGCTTGATTGCAGTTGTTGCTGCTAAGGGTGGCCCAACCAGTTATTAGGTTTAGGGGGCAAACACTTTTTCACACAGGGCCATGTAGTTTTGGATTTTGTTTTCCCTTAATAATAAAAACCTTAATTTAAAAACTGCATGTTGTGTTCACTTGTGTTATCTTTTACTAATATTTAAATTTGTTTGATGATCTGAAACATTAAAGTGTTACAAACATGCAAAAAAATAAGAAATCAGGAAGGGGGCCAACACTTTTTCACACCACTGTATATACATATATATATATATATACACACACATATATACATATATATATATACACTTTCATCATTTACTCTATGTTGTACACTTCTTAATCATATCAAAGAAATGTTTTAAATATTGTTTACCAATAACTTGAATAATTAATTTATAATTACATTTGAGAGTCACACTATTTGCAACCTGAATTAACTTTGCAGTGTCATAAAAAGGTCAAATTATCATATTATAATTTTAAGAGACCTAATTGACCTTAACACACAGTCATGCATGTCTCCAGTTTTCCTCTCTATGACTACATTTACATTCACAATGTTCTGAAGCATTGTGTAAATGTGACCATCATTTTCCTACATTTACACAAAAGAAATTGTGGCAAAGTTCAGCAACCTTGAACCTGACATGAAGCCTGAGTGGCCTAAATCTTTGCAACCAAAAGTCCATTGTATCATTACACAACGTTGAAGTGACAAAAAGTTATGCAAATGCTGCTTTCAAGTTTGTTTGTTTTTTTTGCTTTCCCCACATTAAATGCACCACATGACTTTAGCTGATAACTGTTTTCTATTAATATTTGTTCTTCTAATATTTTAACAAACTTTCTTCACTTTATTCTCAAAAAAAAAAAAAATCAAATGAAGAAAATGAAAGAAAAGCACTCAAATTGTATCCATGAATTGCATTATGTATTTTGAATTAACTGACTTTTTTTTTTTACCTATAATCCATGCCTTCTGTATCCATACAATGGTTTTATGCACAGAAATTCAATTTAATTTCAAAATCTGTTATTCACTGATAATCTTTCACTCCACTGAAGCTATGCAATCTCACCTGCACTGAGATGAGATAAAAGAGATAAAAAAAAAAAAACATCAATTTCAATGAGATTTGAGAACGGCAGCAGGAAAAGAAAAATGACTTTAATTTGGGTCTGTTTGTGTAAAACATTTCTGATTCGGCTTTATAAGACTTCAATGTTACAGACAGGTGTTGCAGATACTTCTATGGTGGTTATGTTTGCAGCTTCAAATTAGTCATCAAGTCATATGGAAAAGAGCCGAGTGAAGATTCTTCAAAAACTCTTATTTTGTCAGTAAAAAAATAACAGCATACAGCTTTGAAACAACAATTTCCATATTTAAATGAACTATTCCTTAAAGTAAAATGGAAAGGGCACCCCACGTTGGCTTGCATGGCTTGTAACATTGATGAAAATGCTGTCAGTAAAAGGCAGTTTACCTTGTGATGCAGAGCTCAAAGAGTCAACTGCTCGCTTCTACTTCCTCTCCTTCCTTGTCTGCTTTTCTTGAATTCAGCCGAACAAGAGTACGATCTGAAAACAAAAGGGTCAATGGGTTAAAAATTAGCCACTTGTTCTAAGTTACATGTACTGACATTGAAATGCAGTGGAAAATTACAGAGCCCGGTCGCCTTGCATGGAAAATCCCTAAATTTATTACACAAAAGGGGGAAAGGCAGGCTTCTAAAAATTTCCATGAAAATTATATTCTTAGATTAACAGTTGGAGGGCAAAGTGTGGGTTTATGTTTAAGGAGCAAATCCTGACCAAAACAGGCCCGATTTCACAATATAGAGCTGAATACTACTTCCGACCAAAGCATTTACAACTCAAATAAAACCACTGCATAAAAAGAGCATTACAAATGCAGTCTATCTGCTGCTTTGACACCTCCATAGTGATGCTGTTTCTATAAGAAAGCTGAGTCTCTGTGTTTTCAGATTTTAAAGGGGAAAAAAAGAAACCGTTTTTGAATTTATGTGGCTCCAAATTTCTGAGAACACATAAAAAAACATGGGATTGTTTCCCTCTTGTAAAACCTAGCAATAAAGTTTTATGGTTCTGAAAATGTAAAAAAAAATAAGAAAAAAAAGGTTGATATCTAGGTCACACCATCAGCCATGTAAACCTGAAGATCCATACACTAAATGAAGATCCTTAGAATAACTGTTCAACTGAAGCACACAAAATGCTGAAAATCCTTTGGGAAAGAAAAAAAAAAAAAAAACACTTTTGGAGTTAATTCTATCATTAAAGGGATAGTTCACATCAAAGGGATAAAATTCTGTCAAATTACTCACCCTCATGTCGTTCCAAACCCATAAGATCTTCATTCGTCTTCGGAACACAAATTAAGATTTTTTGATGAAATCCGAGAGCTTTCTGATCCTCCATAAAGAGCAAGGGTCCTACCACGTTCAAGGTCCAGAAATGTACCGAGAACATCAACAAAATAGTCCATGTGACATCAGTGGTTCAACCATAATTGTATGAAGCTACGAGAACCACGTCACCCCTAGCACCATTTTGGAGAGTATCACGACGCATGCTTGTGCTCTCCTCTGAACGTAAACAAGTAGCAGCGAGCATGCATGTTGTACTTCAGCAACACCACGCGCATGTGTTGTTTACGTGCAGATCAAAGCACGCGCATGTGTCGTACTCTCCAAAAAAGTCGATAGGGTGTCATGAAGGAGAAGAATTGTTGAATATAGGGCTGTGCAATTAATCGAAATACAGTTTTAATTTCAGCCTCCAACAGTTATGAAAATACAATTATCGAGATAAAATAATTATAGCGCTCCATTCCGCGGCCCCTTTTTAGCAGTGCGCTTGGTGATTATTCACGTAACCCTCGTCGGTTATGTAATAAATGAACAAACAGTTGAGAATGAAAACACGTGTACAACAGTAAATTGGATCCGAGTGGCTCTTAAAGTGACAGCGGGCTATATTCCTGCTGCCGACTGTGTGCTTAATATTAATCAAACAGCAAAAGACTAAATCACAAACTGCTCTTGACTGAAGGTCATTTGTTTTTTTATGCACACAAGAAGTATTCTCGTAGCTTTCAAAATTACAGTTGAACCACTGCTGTCACATGGACTATTTTGTCAATGTTCTTGTTACGTTTCTGGACCTTGAACATGGTAGGACCCTTGCTATCTCTGGAGGATCAGAAAGCTCTCGGATTTCATAAAAAATATCTTAATTTGTGTTCCGAAGATGAACGAAGGTCCTAGGGGTTTGGAACAACATGACAGTGTGTAATTAATGACACACTCTAAAAAATGTTGGGTTAAATACAACCCAGTGCTGGGTAAAATAGAAGAAAATTGGCAAAATAACAAATACTAAGAAACTGATCAATTAATTTCCAATTCAACTTTTCTTAAATTGTTATCCTGGTAATATGGTTTGTAATGAACTTGACTGAATGTGGAATGAATTTTGAACTATTATATAAGCGCTGAAGAGGCCTTTTTTTTTTTTTTTTAAGGAGGCCACTAAATATGTATTCCATTTTATGTTTTTGACATTTGTTCATTTGCATTACAGGGATAGGCTAGCTCACCTAAAAATAATAATAAAAAGATAATTAACCTACCCTCATATTGTTACAAACCTGCATGACTTGCTTTCGTTTGTGGAACAAAAGGGTCTCATTGGGGTCCAAGGTTGTTTAAGAACATCTTTTGTGTGCCACAGAAAAAGAGTAAGTCATACAGGAATGTCATGAGGATGAGTACATGACAGAATTTTCATTTTTGAATGATCCCTTTAAAGCCTCTTACATGCTGCATGGTCACCTTTTCTAGAATGAGATGACGAGAAAACACCAGGTCAAGGATGCATTTGTCTCATCTGTGAATTCAGTACAAGTAAAGCAGACTTGTTAGAATTGAAAAATAAAGAGAACTGACAAAACTACATTTCCACATACAAAAAGGTTGTCAATCTAGATTTCAAAGTCTGTGATGACAGACGCTGTTAATTACCCTCAATGCATTTGCATGTCTTGTTTACCAGCATTTCAACTACTGAAAAAAGTAATAGTCATCTTTCATGACTACGTTACCAAATTTCAGAAAATAAAACGGAATGCAAAATACAAATATAAAATATAACGTAAAACGTTTTCAAATGTAAAAAGCAGAAAAATGCACTTTTAATAAAAATATTTGTAAACATTTGCTGACTAAACTTGCCCGCCCTTTTTTTTTTTTTTTTTTTTTTTTTTTTTTACAAAATGCTGTTAAATATTTAAATTATTTGGGTTCCATGCAACTGATATGAAAAGCCGTCTTCAGTTCATTGAAAAGGAAGCTAGTCCAAATATTCTCACTTCCCTCATGTAACTAGCAAAATTATTCTGACATCCAACACATGTGACCATTAACATATAACTGTTCAACAGCTTTCTGTTCATGACACAGGAACAAAACCCCATCTATTTTGCACCCACTGTCAGATCTGTCGTATTACAACATTTGCAGTTGAGCTGTGGAAGAAGAGAAAAAAACAAAACAAATCAGTATGTGTGCGAAAGGAGAATGTAAGCTGGTAAGAGTGGCTTTTCATTTAACGATATTTTGTTTTCTTATGACACTGAGGAAATTTGCTGCGTTTACAGCTTGACTGATAAAAACATGTTAATATTTAAACGAACACAAAACAGTATGATCATGAAGTTTGCCTAAAAGGCATAAACAACCACAACTAACCAGTCTATACACAGACTAAACCATAGCGGCAGTAGAAAGTGTCGAATATCAAAAAGACATCCCTGCAAGCAAAATTAATTGTAATTTCTTAATTTTTCGAAATATCTACCGACAGGTGGCGCTAATTTCGCTGCAAAAACGAAAACCACATTTACATTAGAATTTCATCGAAAATAACGCCGTCTTTCAGTAATAGCACTTTCATTACTCTCATCTGCATCGAACTTCACTTCACCAAGTTGTTTAGTGAACGACTGAACAGTTCGAGCCAACCTTTCTTTCCAGTCGCCAGAGAAGAGTGAAATTCACAGGAAAATTCAGCAAACATGGCTGCTGCGTGTGCTTTTTGTGTTTTCAGATTGTACCCTACCCCGTCTGATTTCAACTCCACAAATTTCCTGCAAAAGCCTCCGCTCGACCCAAACACACAGACAGCAGGACAGAAAGACTGATGCAACAATTCACTGCAACACAAACTCGCTGCAAAACTTTATTTCGAAAGCAGCTCCGCAAAAAAGGGGGAAAAAAACAAAAACAGAAAAAAAAACAGCTCATGCACTGCACAACACATTCAGATCACATTTGAGAGAATTGTGAGGTGAGCTTACCGCGCACACAAACATGAGCTCCGGATGATTGCGATCAAAGCGCCCGTTACATTGTATCATTTGTGAATGAGGAAAGACGCGGGTACTCCACTTTGTTACCTCCCAAAATGATGCGGAGAAATTTTCTGGGAATGAAGAAATCCTCCCCTTCGGATCTCAAAATGACGAAACGAGCGGGTCTTTCCGGGGCACTTTTTTTTCTCTTCTAGAAACAGAACTCCCAAATTTGATTTCAGTGAATTTGTCGGTTCTCTTCCTGATACGTCCACACGCCACTGGCGGCCGATGCTTCACTGTTGGTGAGGTATATTAGTGTTGCGGTCTGCCCCACGGACACATTCATCCGCCATCATGCAAGGGCAGGTTCTCAATTTGCAAATGCATTAATTTCACACAATGCCTTAATGTGGATGGTATCACGTCAGCTGGCCCATCTTGTGGGTTAGATAAGCAAAATAACTCAACTGGCTTCTATGTAATAGCAAATTTGACCGCGCTGAGCAAGGTGTTTTTTTTACATTTATAACCAAACTACTTTTTCATCTGCTTGGATGAAGAAAACTCTTCTGTTAGACTCACAAGTTACTAGTTTCTCTGTTTGTTGCCTAAAGTTTAACTACAGTATTTTGAGCAATTTTAGTATGTTTTGTTGCAATAATATTTTATGGAGACACACAAACATGTTGTGGCAAGTATACACACATGTCTAGATTTACAGAAAAAGATGATTATATCCACAGCGCATTTTTTCTGCACCAAAAACCATGACAAATTATGAAGTGAACCTCTAATCAAAGGACTTTTATGTATAATGTGCGGTTTCCTTTTTTTTCCTCCCCCATCTTCACTTCTCAAATGGGTTCCGTCTCGTCAGCGCCTCTAGCGGCGAGTCTGCAGACGGTCTGAGGGAAAAAAAAAATTGTGATTCATGAAATTTGACAAGCAAATTCCAATTTTCAAAAAGACAGAAAAAAAAGACACTGGAAATATCAGAGTGTTTTTTTTGTTTAATTCTCATTTATAAGCTTGCCAATACATCCTCACAAATCTCATATTATGTAGTATTTTTATATACAGAATGAATACCAAAAATATATTCACTCTTTGTTCCTCACCTAGACTGTTCATTGTTTGTTTGTTTATTT